ATTCCCCATAATTTAATCCCACCCCTCTCCCGAACACCCTAGCATTTACTTCTTTTACAGCCCCATCTATAAATATACATTAAACAACCATGGTGACATTACACATCCCTGTCTAAGACCTACTTTTACCAGGAAGTAGTCTCCCTCTTCTACACACCCTAATCTGAGCCTCACTATCCTCATAAAAACTCTTTACAGCATTTAGTAACTTATTACCTATTCCATATACTTGCAACATGTGCCACATTGCTCTCTTATCCACTCTATCATATGCCTTTTCTAAATCCATAAATGCAATGAAAACTTTCCTACCTTTATCTAAATACTGTTCACATATATGCTTCAATATAAACACTTTATCTACACATTCCCTACCCACTCTAAAATCTCCTTGCTCATCTGCAATCCTACATTCTATCTCACCTCTAATTCTTTTAATAATAACCCTATAGTACACTTTTCCTGGTATACTCAGTAAACTAATTCCTCTACAATTTTTACAATCTCTTTTGTCCCCCTTCCCTTAATATAAAGGGACTATACATGCTCGCTGCGAATCCCTAGGTACCTTCCCCTCTTTCATATATTTATTAAACAAAAATACCAACCACTCTAACACTATATACCCCCCTGCTTTTAACATTTCTGTCATGATCCTGTCAGTTCCAGCTGCTTTACCCCCTTTCATTCTATGTAATGCCTCACGCACCTCCCCCACACTCACATCCTGCTCTTCTTCACTCCTAAAAGATGGTATACCTCCCTGGCCAATGCATGAAATTACCGCCTCCCTTTCTTTATCAACATTTAAAAGTTCCTCAAAATATTCTCGCCCTCTACCCAATACCTCCATCTCCCAATCTACTAGCTCCCCTACTTTGTTTTTAACTGACAAATCCATTTGTTCCCTAGGCTTTCTTAACTTGTTTAACTCACTCCAAATTTTTTTCTTATTTTCATTAAAATTTCTTGACAGTGCCTCTCCCACTCTATCATATGCTCTCCTTTTGCACTCTCTCACCACTCTCTTCACCTTTCCTTTACTCTCCATATACTCTGCTCTTCTTGTAACACTTCTACTTTGTAAAAACCTCTCATAAGCTACTTTTTTCTCTTTTATCAGATCCTTTACTCCATCATTCCACCAATCACTCCTCTTTCCTCCTGCACCCACCCTTGTATAACCACAAACTTCTGCCCCACATTCTAATACTGCATTTTTAAAACTATTCCAACCCTCTTCAACCCCCCTACTACTCATACTTGCAGTAGCCCACCTTTCTGCCAATAGTTGCTTATATCTCACCCGAACCTCCTCCTCCCTTATTCTATACACTTTCACCTCTCTCTTATGTGTTGTTGCCATTTTCCTCTTGTCCCATCTACCTCTTACTCTAAATGTAGCTACAACTAAATAATGATTCGATATATCAGTTGCCCCTCTATAAACATGTACATCCTGGAGCCTACCCAACAACATTTTATCCACCAATACATAATCTAACACGCTACTTTTATTACATGCTATATCATACCTTGTATTTTTATTTATCCTCTTTTTCATAAAATATGTATTACGTACTTATTACCAAACCTCTTTCTACACATAGCTCAATTAAAGGCTCCCCATTTTCATTTACCCCTGGCACCCCAAATTTACCCACTACTCCCTCCACAACATTTTTACCCACTTTAGCATTGAAATCCCCAACCACAAGTACTCTCACACTCGGTTGAAAACTCCTCACGACTTCACTAAACATTTCCCAAAATCTCTCTCCTCTACACTTCTCTCTTCTCCAGGTGCATATACGCTTACTATAACGCACTTTTCACATCCTTTATTTTACTCCACATAATCCTTGAATTAATACAATTATACTCCCTCTTTTCCTGCCATAGCTTATCTTTCAACATTATTGCTTCTCCTTCTTTAGCTCTAACTCTATTTGAAACCCCTGACCTAATCCCATTTATTTCTCTCCACTGAAACTCTCCCACCTCGTTCAGCTTTGTTTCACTTAAAGCCAGGAGATCCAGCTTCTTCTCATTCATAACATCCACAATCATCTCTTTCTTATCATTCACACAACATCCACGCACATTCAGACATCCCACTTTGACAATTTTCTTCTTCTTATTCTTTCTAGTAATCATTACAGGAAAAGGAATTACTAGCCCATTGAGTGTTTATAAATAAACGTGTTACATGTATGAGTAGTGTGACCTAAGTGTAAGTAGAAGTAGCAAGACATACCTGTAATCTTGCATATTTATGAGACAGACAAAAGACACCAGCAATCCTACCATCATGTAAAACAATTAAAGGCTTTCGTTTTACACTCACTTGGCAGGACGGTAGTACGTCCCTGGGTGGTTGCTGTCTACCAACCTACTACCATATGTTGAACTAATTTATAATTTTTTTTTTCAACAAACCAGCTGTATCCCACCAAGGCAGGGTGGCCCAAAAAGAAAAACTTAAGTTTCTCTTTTTAAGTTTAGTAATTTATACAGTAGAAGGGGTTACTAGCCCCTTGCTCCCGGCATTTTAGTTGCCTCTTACAACACGCATGGCTTACGGAGGAAGAATTTTGTTCCACTTCCCCATGGAGATAAGAGGAAATAAACAAAAACAAGAACTAAAAAGAATATGGAAGAAAACCCAGAGGGGTGTGTATATATATGCTTGTACATGTATGTGTAGTGTGACCTAAGTGTAAGTAGAAGTAGCAAGACGTACCTGAAATCTTGCATGTTTATGAGACAAAAAAATGACACCAGAAATATTACCATCATGTAAAACAATTATACGCTTTCGTTTTACACTCACTTGGCAGGATGGTAGTACCTCCCTGGGTGGTTCCTGTCTACCAACCTACTACCATATGTTGAACTAATTTATAATATATAATATGTTGAACTAATATATTCGGCTCTCAAAATGATGAAATTTCCCTGGGACTTTTCATAGACCTATGAAAAGCTTTTGATACAGTTGACCATGACCTATTGTACCTAAAACGTGAACATTATGGGGTTAGAGGACACTCTCTCTATTACTTGAAATCTTATCTAAGTAAGAGAAGCCAGTAAGTATACACAAATGGCACTAACTCCACTGCACAACCTGCTCTTGTTGGAGTCCCACAAGGGAGTGTTCTTAGCCTACTTTTTTTTCTCATTTACATCAATGGCCTCCCAAATGCATCTGAACTCCTTAAACCCATTTTATTTGCAGATGACACTACTTATGTCTTCTCCCACCCAAACCCAACTATACTAACAGACATTGTAAACTATAAACTACTAAAAATATCTACTTGGATGACTACCAACAAACTTACTCTCAATATAGACAAAACCTACTTATTTGGAAACAGAGCTTCAAATATACAGCTAAACATTGATAAATGGTTTACCCATTTCAAGACACACACACGGCAAATTTTTAGGTCTCCACCTTGACTGCAGTCTCAAATTCCAGACCCACATACAGCAAATATCTAAGAAAGTCTCCAAAACAGTAGGCATCCTTTCAAAGATACAGTACTATGTACCCCAAATGGTTCTTCTTGCTCTTTGCCACTCATTTACCCTTACCTCACCTATGGTATTTGTGCATGGGACTCAACCACAGCAAATCACCTTAAACCTTTAATACCTGGGGTATACCAGGAGAGGATTCCTGGGGTCAATGCCCCCGTGGCCCAGTCTGTGGCCAGGCCTCATGGTGAATCAGGGCCTGATCAACCAGACTGTTACTGTTGGCTGCATGCAAACCGGTGTATGAACCACAGTCCGGCTGGTCAGGTACTGACTTTAGGTGGTTGTCCAGTGCCTGCTTTAAGACAGCCAAGGGTCTATTAGTAATCCCCCTTATGTATGCTGGGAGGCAGTTGAACAGTCTTGGGCCCCTGACACTTATTGTGTTGTCTCTTATTGTGCTAGTGGAACCCCTGCTTTTCATTGGGGGAATGTTGCATCGTCTGCTGAGTGTGATTGATTACCAACTCCTGCACTAGATAGCACACTCCACCACTTTTTAAGAACCTTAACTTGCTTAATATACAAAACATCCACACTTATTTTTGTGCCTACTACACACACACAACATTATACTCAAATATTAATCCTCCTCTCAAACTCTTCATTGATAGCTACAACAGAACACCCAGACATAATACAAGGCACAAATCACTCTTCGATATCCCTCATATCCATCTCTCCATATGCAAAAATGCTATGCACATAAAGAGGCCCAAAGATCTGGAATTCACTGCCAGAACACGAAAAAAAGCCCCTAACTGTCAATCAATGTAAGGCCCTTCTCAGAAATCATCTCATCACTCAAAATTAACCAAACACTTTACTTAACACTTACTAGTTACTCAAAAGTTACTCAAAAAACTCCTAAATAATTTATGACTGCTCAACTATTTGATCATTTACTTCAGACTTAATATTGTTTCAATTTTATTATTGTATACTGCACTTGATGACTGCTCAACTATTTGATTATTAACTTCAAACTAATAATTGTTTCAATTTCATTGTTTTAAATTGTGCTAAATTGTAATACTGTATATTGTAAATTGTGCTTGAGGACTGCTCAACTATTAAATCATTACTTCAAAGTTAAAATTCTTTCAACTTCATTGTTTTAAATTGTGCTAAATTGTAATACTGTATTTTAATACATCAAAACTGTAATTATTCTCTACCTAACTTACTAAAGCCATATAGGCTGGACTAGTTGAAAATTTAGTTTTCTTGTTTTCACTGTAACTCACCTAATGACCATATATGTAAAAATTACAGCACTGTTATTGCCTTATTAATCTTAAGTTAGTCTTGAGCTTACCCGAAATGCTCTGCATATAAAGGAGCTTTTGGCATGTTCACCAAATTGTTACACTCCTTTGTACAAACATGTATCATGCTAAAATAAATTTGTTACTGTTTTTGTTAATGTGCAAGTCAAGTAGCAAAAATCTCACCAAATTCAGCGAGAGCTTGGAGAGGAGTGAGAAGAACATCCAAAGTGCCTTTTAGTTTATCCAGAGAGTCCGTCACCAGAATAATACCATCATATCCTTCTGCCAATACAGAGGTTTCCGGCCTCACCTCAAAGGAGATTCTGGAACTGCATCCAAATTTTAAATAGTGTAGTTTAAAACATATACTATAAGTACTTAAATTATATAATTCAAAACCTACAAAACTGCATATACAGTTCAGAACAGTATAATATTTAACAAAAATGAACATAACATCTATCATATTTTGCCAATGAATGTATAAATTTATCAGATATTTGGACAGCAACTTTGTTATGTTTGAATACTATACTGCCTTTATTGATGATGTAACAGACTAGAGTATACATATAAACAGTGATACTGTATCTCATTACAGTGATGTTATAAATATTGTACTGTCCATTATAGTGTACATATAAATGGCATAAAATACCTTACTGCATAAAGTAATAAATGCTTTTAGAAAATAGGTATACTGTGTGTACAACAGTTTTAAATAACAAATAAATAAAATATTTCCACCCTTCTGGCAAGACAGTGATGGAGTGAATGATGGTGAAAGTTTTTCTTTTTCGGGCCACCCTGCCTTGGTGGGAATCGGCCAGTGTGATAATAATAAAAAAAAAATAAATAATAATTTCCACCCAAAAAATTTCACATTACAATACATTAAACATTGCTGGAAAATTTTCTTTAGTAATTTTTCTGATGGTTGCTGAAGTCTTTCTCCTTGCACCCACCTTGTCAGGAGGTGGGTATGGGGGGATGTCGATTCTGCACCCACCCTGTCAGGTTGGTGTGGGGTCACTTGATTCTGAACACCCACCTTTTCAGCAGATGGGTGTGGGGGGACTGGCTTCTGCACACCCACCTTATCAGGAAGTGGGTATGGAGGATTGGCTTCTGCACCCACCTTGTCAGAGGGTGGGTGTGAAGGACCAGCTTCTGCACCCACCTTGTCAGAGGGTGGGTGTGAAGGACCGGCTTCTGCACCCACCTTGTCAGGAGGTGGGTGTGAAGGACCGGCTTCTGCACCCACCTTGTCAGAGGGTGGGTGTGAAGGACCGGCTTCTGCACCCACCTTGTCAGGAGGTGGGTGTGAAGTACTGTTTTCTGCACCTGCCTTGTCATTAAGTATTGGGTGGGGGTTCACATTCCTCACCCACCTTGTCTGGATGCAGGCATGGGGGAAACTCATGCTTTTGCATCCACATTATCAGGAGACAAGTATACGTACCTAAGACATATTAAGATTCAATCTGGAAAAGTTTTTTGCATAAAAACTGTCTGATTATGTTGGTAATATACTGTATATGTTTTTGAGATGAGCATTAAAAAAAAGAAAAAGAGCTTTAAAATATGCTGTCACACAACACTGTGCAATAAAAAAATTCCCCAATTAAGACTTGTAATGCCATTTAAGTATTTAAAAACAGTATAAAAAAGTTTTACAATTTATTTATTTATTTATTTATATATTATTAATTTGGACATGATACATAGAAGTACAAAGAAATGCAGTGGTTAAGTGTAACATGCCAAAAGCCCCTTGTATGCAGAGCATTGTAGGCAGCTTAAAATTAACTTAAGATTAACTAAGCAATGATATATTCAGTGGTAAAAATTATAGTAAACAAATAACAATTAAGCACAAATGAGTATTTCAAAGACAGGTCATATGGTCATTTGCTGAGTTGCTGTGCATTCAGCAGAATGGAGAATTCTGTTAGGTAATGTAATTAAAAAACAAAGCTTGATAGGGTCACAGGTTAAACATTTATGAGATACAGTTATTCAGTATTTATTCAGTTGTGGGTGAGTAAGTGATTTTTAAGAAGAGACTTGGATTTATAAACAGTGTTTCTTTTATATTCACAGGTAATGAATTCCACATTTTTGGGCCTTTTATGTGCATTGAGCTTTTGCATAGTGTGAGATGGACATGAGTGATCTGCGCCTTGTGTTATGGTCATGTGTTCTGTTGAGGTTGGTAAGGAGACATTTGAGGGGAGGGTTTATATCCGAGTTAAGTGTTCTATGTATGTATTAGGTTCAACAATAAGTATGGATGTTTTGTACGGTGAGTAGATTTAGAGTTTTGAATATTGGTGGAGTGTGCTGCATGAAGTGGGAATTTGTTATCATTCTGACTGCAGCCTTTTGTTGGGTAATTAATGGTCTGAGATGGTTTATTGTTGTTGAGCCCCATGCACAAATTCCATAGGTGAGATAGGGGTAAATAAGTGAGTGATATAGGGCCAGGAGGGCTGACTGTGGAACATAGTACCGTATCTTCGATAGTATGCCTACGGTCTTGGAAATTTTCTTGGAAATTTGTTGTAAATGTGTTTGAAATTTGAGTCTATTATCAAGGTGGATTCCTAAGAATTTTCCCTCTGTGAGCTTTGTGATAGGTCATCTGTTTATCATTATGTTAAGAGGGACATCTGTAGCTCTGTTTCCAAACTAAATTAAGTAGGTTTTGTCAATGTTGAGAGTAAGTTTGTTAGTCATCATCCAGGTGGACATTTTCTTTAATTCGGTATTCACAGTATTGGCTAGCATGACTGGGCTTGGGTGAGAGAAGACGTATGTAGTGTCATCTGCAAATAGTGTAGGTTTGAGTAGTTGCGATGCATTTGGTAGGTCATTTATGTAAACGAGAAAGAGAAGAGGGCCAAGGACACTTCCCTGTGGAACACTAACTGTAATTGGCTGTGCAGAAGAGTTTGCTCCATTTGTGTACACATATTGGCTTCTGTTGCTGAGGTATGACTTTAGGTAGTTGAGGGAGTGCCCTCTTATACCATAGTGCAACAATTTTGTGGAGCAAATCATGGTCAATTGTATCAAAAGCTTTACATAAATCAATGAAGATCCCCAGTACTAAAAATAAGCCACATTGACTTTTTTGGGGTTATCCTAGGTTCTCTACACATATGCTGCTATGTGTGATAATCTATAGAAAGAAAAGAACTTTTTTGTTTCATGTTTATGGTGGAGTATGAGTGTATATCATAGTTAGCCCTGTGCTATACTCCGTTTTCTCTAATATAAGCCCCCAAGACAAGGATGGGAGAATGGTATTTGTTTACCATATCCTCTTCATAACTCTGTCGAACTGCTCGGTGTTATGCCAAATATTATTCATTCTGGAGTATTTAATATGTTTTATGCTATTTATATTGTTTATTATGTCATATTAGATCAATTGTGATAGGCAAATAAGCTGTAGTGTTGATATTAGCGTAATAATAAAGCATATTCTACCTGGATGAGGACTAACAAACTTACACTAAACATTGACAAAACCTACTTCATTCAGTTTGGTAACAGAGCTACAGATGTCCCTCTTAACATAATGATAAATGGATCACCTATCACAAAGCTAACAGAGGGAAAATTCTTAGGAATCCACCTTGATAATAGACTCAAATTTCATACACATATACAACAAATTTCTATGAAAATTTCCAAGACCGTAGGCATACTATCGAAGATACGGTACTATGTTCCACAGTCAGCCCTCCTCTTATTTACCCCTATCTCACCTATGGAATTTGTGCATGGGGCTCAACAACAATTAACCATCTCAGACCACTAATTACCCAACAAAAGGCTGCAGTCAGAATGATAACAAATTCCCACTACAGGCAGCACACTCCACCAATATTCAAAACACTAAACCTACTCACCATACAAAACATCCATACTTATTACTGCACCTATTACATACATAGAACACTTAACTCTGATATTAACCCTCCCCTCAAACATCTCCTTGCCAATCTCAACAGAACACATGACCATAACACAAGGCACAGATCACTCTTTGATGTTCCTCGTGTCCATCTCACGCTATGCAAAAACTCAATGCACATGAAAAGCCCTAAAATCTGGAATTCATTACCTGTAAATATAAAAGAAACACTACCTGTTTATAAATTCAAGTCTCTTCTCAAAGATCACTTACTCACCCAAAACCAAATAAATACTGAATAACTAAACCCTTTATAAATTGTAAAATCTTAAATGTTTCTCACAATTATATTGCATAAATGTTAAACCTAAGACCCAATCTAACTTTGTTATTTTTTTAAATACACTACCTAACAGAATACTCCATTATACTGAATGTACAGCAATGCATGCAACCATATGACCTGTCTTTGTAATACTCATTTGTGCTTTATTGTTATCTGTTTACAATAATGTTTTATCACTGATTACATCATTGCTTAGTTAATCTTAAGTTCATTTTAAGCCTGCCCGTAATGCTATGCATACAAGTGGCTTTGGCATGCTGCTCTTACCTGTATTTTTTTGTACCTCTGTATGTTCAAATTATTAAATAAATAAATAAATAAATAAATAAATAAATAAATATTCTCCTGCTTCATGAGACTGAGTTCATGACAACCAACAGTGGCTTCAAAGCCACCTTATCTTTAATGGATAATGTAGTGTAGGTGCTTTACATAATGAGAAGCATTTCTTTTATTCATTGGAACCATGGCTAGGGCTAAAAGTAATCAGGTTAAAACAATAAATGGAGAAAAAGAAATTGGAATGACTTATGCAGCAAGTAGCGCCACCAAACAGTACTGGCAGGTTGGTGTGGCGACCCTGGAAATTTGAAATTATGCCAGCCAAAATTAGTGCTGAATAACTGAAGGAACCGAATAACTGATTGCCGGATTTGTGATGGCGGACCTGTGCCATATAGTACCATATGGTACAATGAACCATATGGTATCATTGTACTATATGGTACAATGTACCATATGGTACCATTGCACCATATGGTACCATTGCACTATATGGTAGCACTGTATCATATGATACCAATGTACCAAATGGTGCCATTGTACCATATTCTACCATATGGTACCAATGTATCATATGGTACCATTGTATCATATGGTACCATTGTATCATATGGTGCCAATGTACCATATGGTACCATTGTAATATATTGCACCCTATGGCACCATTGTACCATATGGTGCTATATGGTACCATTGTATTCAACACAATAACCACACTAATATTTTCAGCATTTTGTTTACAATAAACTTGTAAACAAGTTTTGTAAGCAATATAA